CCCCCCCCCCCCCCCCCTTTCAGATGTTTTCTTACTTGTATTTTAACATTAGATCTTTTTCATTTCTAGGTCATTGCCGTGCTATTAGGAGGAATGTTTATTCTATCTGGTCGTATAACAGCTGAACAACTTACGAAGTTTATATTGTATAGTGAATGGTTAATTTATTCAACATGGTGGGTAGGGGACAATTTATCCTCATTGATGCAATCTGTTGGGGCAAGTGAAAAGGTCTTCCAATTGATGGATCTCTTGCCTAGCGACCAATTTGCATCACAAGGTAAGCTACTAACTGAGTTGTGATGGAGATGTTGGGTCATCAGTTTTGTTCCTAGGCCCCCTTTTGCAATAATTTTAGTCTTTGAACTTTAGAAGTATAATGGTTAAGTCATCGACATCAGAATTTTTGGAGTAATATAAAATTTGCAATTTGAATTGATAAGTCCAATATGTAAAAGGAAATACATGTATTCCAAAATAAATAAAAAACTAATAATCGAGGTTATTATTCATCAGTAATAATCATAATAATTGAAGGTTAGCTGACTTATTGACTATCATTCATTAATGTCAAAAACTTAGTTGCTTTCTAAAAGTATGGAGAACTAAATCATTACAAATATTACAATGGCAGTATAGGACGGCTAAAAATGTGTTTTTACCATATCTTTTGTGTGTGGAGTCTTAGTTTTGGACTTTAGTTTAAGACAGAAAACCCCGCGAGCAATTCTTGATTGACCGAGGCATCATTAGTATTCTCTCCCTCACCAATGTTCAAATATTGTTTTACATCAAATTACTTTAATTTAGTTGTGTAAAATACTTCGCGTGGCAGTTGCTGCTCCAGACTTGAAAAACTAGTTTTACGCAACTTTTAATGCTGGGAATGCTGCTTATCTTTTTTGCTTTGGTCTTTTGTTCTCGTTCTTGTTTTTTCTATTTATCTTTTTCTTCTATGATCTGTTTTAACGTAGAAAGCACTTTAAAGTGAGGAGTACTTTGTTACCTTGAACTTGTTGTCTTCATTGTTTAAATCTCTGAAGGTTGGAGCTGTTCATTTATCATATGGTGTAGGAAGCAGTAAAATGAAATCACATAGAACTCAGGTGCACGAAATCTTATGTTGAATTTTTATTGACATGATAAACACTTGCAGGAATAAAGTTGCAGAAACTGACAGGACGCTTCGAGTTTTTGGATGTCTCTTTCCGTTATCCCTCACGGCCAACGGTAAATTTCTTTTTAGTTGTAAGATCTACTCACTACTTCTTTCAACACTCTGGTTTTTTTATGTAGTACCTATAATGATCCACCGTAGAATATGCAATAATTTTGCTCATCTCTGAACTCTTAAATTAGGATGGCTTGGTATTGTATTTCTTATTTCTTATGTATCCTTCACCTTACATTGCCCACATAATCGGGTGATAACTTTTTTTTCCATGTGTGAAAGAATAATATCACCCTATACCTTTCTCAGCCTTTTGGCTAAGATCAATGATAGTGTCTGTTTTCATCGGTAAGTGAAGGGTAATATCAACAGAATTCATAGCCTCATGTAGTTGCTCATGAAGATTCCTTTTTTAAGATTGTTTGGGCTTCATAAGTGTTGTTATGGCTAACTTTATAATGCTTAAAGCTGTAAGGCTGAATGTCAGCTCAATATATACACCTGGAATTGACTATGTTGCCATTTTACCAAGTTCATATTTCTAGCAGTATGAGGAGCGCGCCATTATAGGTTAGCCTAAACTGGAAGATATTACTTGACTAATTAGGCCTCGAAGCAGCATTATATCTACTAGTTTATTTTCTTTCTCCTTTCCGCAAGGGACTTATTGAGAGTTACTCTGCATTGCAATATCAAGCTGCATGCTTAAAATTTCGTGCTAGGTAAACTTCAGATGATAAGCTTTCACATCTTGTGATGATGAATTCTTCTTAATTTATTTTGCTGAGCTGGCTGCGTCACATTATTACGATGATGATTATCATTATTATTATAATATTGTTATCATTCAACTTTTGGATGCTTTTCTTGCCTATTCTCGAGATGATTGTTGATTCAAATACTTCAATAGGTCTCTGTACTGCAACATGTAAACCTTTCAGTGCATCCCAATGAAGTTGTAGCAATAGTAAGTATTTTCTCGCTATTTACATGTCTGGTTATGGGTTCTGCAGTGACCAATAAGTTGATGCTTTCTTTTTTGCAAGGTTGGTCTTAGTGGCAGTGGTAAAAGCACGCTGGTAAACCTTTTACTCCGACTTTATGAGCCAACGAATGGGCAGGTAATGTGTTTAGCTTGTTATACCCCCTTTTAGTGAATATAAAAATGCGACTGTAATTTGTTTTTTCTTGAAGCAATGTGTGTGGGTTTAGAATAAAATATTTTAGTAATGGATCAAAGAAAAAAGTAGTTATCCAATGGCCAAAGTATACATCACCTGCAAGAGTTATTGCTATGAGTTCTTCCATGATCCGCCTCCTGCTGCTCTCTCCTTATTTGTCATACTATTGATGTGTGCACTCATGAATTAGAATCCACGAAACTTATCTATGTTTGTGGAAATAATGCAAAGAATATTTTGCATGCTCTTATGTCTTCTCTCATTTCGGATAATATTTCCTATTTGCAGGTTTTAATCGACGGTTACCCTCTTAAAGAATTGGACATTGTATGGTGGAGAGAAAGGATCGGATATGTAGGGCAGGTCCGTTAACTACTTCCGACTTGATTTAAAGTTCAGCGTTGTTTCATATTTCCCTTCTGATGTGATAGTTTTGAGCAGGAACCTAAACTTTTCCGCATGGATGTTAGTTCAAACATTAAGTATGGATGTCACAGAGACGTAGGACAGGAGGATGTGGAATGGGCAGCCAAGCAGGCTTATGCTCATGACTTCATCCTATCGCTGCCCAATGGTTATCAAACGCTTGTTGATGATGATTTGCTTAGTGGGGGACAAAAGCAGCGGATAGCCATTGCACGAGCTATTCTTAGGGATCCAGCTCTTTTGATTCTTGATGAGGCCACTAGCGCATTGGATGCTGAGAGTGAACACAATGTTAAGGTAAATACTTTGACAAAGCTCTTGATGTCGGCCTTCCCCCTCCCAAAAGGAAACAAAAATGGAAAGAAATAGATGGAAAAGACTTAGATAATCAAATTGAGGTTGAAAGATTTCACATATAGGCTCGAGTGCTGGCTATATTACTATATATTCATGGAATCAGAGAACTTTGTATTACAAGCACACGGAAAAAGGAATAATTGTACAACGGTGCGTGTAAAATTAAGGTGAAAATGTGTGCTAAGCTCACAATCAGGTGAAACAGGCAGGAATGTATAACAGGATTCTAATGGTTTGTAAAAACAGTCACCCACAGGATCCTTTTATTGCTTGCTTAATTTACTGCTACCATCACCTGATAGCCATGCAAAGTTTATAAGTTTCCCCTCGTCTTAGAATGTTCTAAGCAACTTTTCTCCTTTTTCTTATAACTTTTAAAGCCGGCTTTACTTAAAAAAGTTTTTGAAGTAGCACTTAAAAAGTCTCTAAACATGTCATTGAACACATGCATGTGGAAAAAGAGAAGCACGAGCGATTACTTACATGTTGCTTGTGATGTTACTCAGGGCGTTCTTCGTGCTGTAAGAAATGACTTGAAGATGAAGAGAACTGTCTTAATTATTGCGCACAGGTAAGCTCTCTAATATGGCCTCCATTGCATATGTTTCTTGTGGATTAATAGTTCGACCTTTACACTTTTACAGGCTTTCAACTATTCAAGCTGCTGACAGGATAGTGGTTATGGATGGCGGTCAGATAGTAGAGGTTATTCTGCTCCCTATTAAGTTTAAGCTTTTTACAGTATTCATGGAAATTATAGCTTGCTTACTTTTCTACTATGTTCATTTTCTTTTGAAAACTGAAGCCAACCAACCACCCATTATCCCACTTAAGAGATCGATAAACCCATGATAACCTGATATTTTTCTTTTATTTAACCAGCCTATTGCTCAAACACATTACATTAACCTTAGAATCTTCGAAGTCCCTTTCTATAACCATTTTGTTCTTAGGTTCTCTATGTTTTGGCAATTATGCTTACTTCCACCCGATTCTTAATAAGCTTTAGGGAATGTTCATGGATCTATAATCAAAGAATACTCTCTCCATTGGTGTTAGGTCTTTTGGAGAAGCCCAAAGCAAAGTTACGAGAGCTTATGCTCAAAGTGGACAATATCGTACCATTGTGGAGAGTCATGTTCATCTAACAAGCTTTACATTTGCATCCTAAGCTAAATTTGGAAAAAAAAATGAAGTTTTTAGAAACTACTTGTTTTAGTTTTCAAATTTGATTTGGTTTTTGAAACGTTTTTAAAAAGTAGGTGAAAAAGCATGAAAACTGAATGTGGAAGTAGTTTATAAGCTTAAAGTTTTAAAACTAGAAAACAAAAAACAAAATGACTTTCAAATAGGGCCTAAGTTATCGACTAAATTGTCGTATTGATGAACTTGTTCGGTCGATTATTATATCACAGATGGGCACGCACAATGAGCTTCTCGTAAAGGATGGGTTATATGCAAGATTGACTAGAAAACAGGCTGATGCAGTGGCATGAGGAATGCCAATTTATTTCCTATTTAACTCTTGCAGGGGTGAAGCAAAATTTCAACTGCTAACCCACTCAGAATGCTTAGACACATTTGGAAAAGGTAAAAAAAAGTTGTATACCTAAGAAATTATAGCAATTCAAAAGGCCATGACATTCCATTTGTATGAAAAATTCAATGTTTTAAGCTAGAATCCTAGTTTCTATATGCTTCTAACATCTTTTCTTTTGTACAGTTTTGTAGTGCTTAATTGGTGTCCAATTAATTTATGAACATGAATGCAATAGCTTCTTCTTTGGTTATCTTATATCAAATTAAGTGTCCATTTCATTATGGTTCAGGGTTGTAAGCATTAATAACTCTTTAAACTTTACCCATCGGTTTAAACTATAAGAAGAGTTATTAATGCTTACAGCTTTACCCATCTTCACTATCTTCACGAGGTTGAAGCTTTAAATTTTCATCTCATGCTAAGTTTTTTTTTTAGAAATTTAACATATATAATTCGAACTTTTCCTAAGTTTGAAATATATATTTGATTATCCATTTGAATAAGGCTCTTTTATCTAGCTAATCGTTACAAGATGGAAGAGTCATTTTTAACTTTATCGATGATATAATTTAGTCTATTTTTGGCATCATATTCATAAGCTCAAATCACTATGTAGCTATCATTAATATCATTACCATCATTAGAGATGTTCATGAGACGGAAACGAGAAAGTCTTCATGTCCCAAAATTTTTCATTTATTTTTGCTAGGATACTCCACGAGAAATGTGTGGGGATCGGGTTCCCTGTAAAAAATTGTTTACCATGTTTTTATTTTTTTAAAAATGGTTCATTCAAATGCATAGTTTTTAATTTTACCATATAATTTTTATTTAAAAATGTAAACAAAAATATAATATAATAGTGTACCAAAAAATATTCTAAAAATTCAAATTTTAATATTTCAGCCTACTCTTTTCTACGCAATAAAAGCTGAAATAAAATGATGGTTGTAACCTCATGGAAATATAATAGTAAAATAAATAAATTAATTTTTTTATATGTAAAAAGATAGGAACGAGATGGGACAAGACGGGGATGGAGACCGGGAATACAATATTCTTAATGTAATTAAGAGAAATCTCTTTGCATTCCTTCTTTAAACACGATTTCTCAATCTATTCAAGACGTTCTTATGACGTGCGAATAAATGAACATCTCTGGTAGCAACGAATGAGAATAAAATTATTATACGTGATGTTTAAATTCAGTAGGTTGAGGAGAAAATGTATTATTATGGGCTTTTGAAGGTTAGGCCCAGTTTTCGGAAGAAAGAAAATCGAAGCCGACGTGGTTAGCCACTACCGACGGCGAGAAAACGGCGACGTAATGGTTGCAATTCATACTGGACTTATTCCCTCACAAAATTCCCCCTTCTTTCCCCGCAGCCGCAGGGCGTAGTAACAATGCCGGAATTCGGAGCTTGAACCCTGACCCCGCCGTATTCTTCCACTCAATCACCGTACCTGAAGAAGAATCCGCCATTAATCCACAGAGATATGGATTCTTACCATCAGACGCACCATTTCCCGGGGGCTCCGCCACCTCCGCCGCCCCCCTCCGCTGCCGATCCCTACTACCACCACCACCACCACCAGCAATCGTCGTTGAGGTCACCAGTTCCTCCGCAGGGTCCATGGTTCCACAACCAATTTCAATACCACCCTTCGCATTCTGCGTCACCTTCTCCTCATCCGCCTCCGTCGCAGTGGGGACCGCCGCCGGCGCCTCATTCCGAACATGCTCCTCCTCCTCCTCCTCCTCCTCCTCCCGGTGCTTATCCTCCACCTCCTCATCCTTATCCTTCGCAGCCTATGCACCACAACCAGTTTCCTCCTCCTCGTCCTCCTATGTTTCAGCAACTCCCTCCTCATTCGCAGGTGATTCAGGCGAATTTCGTCATCTTTCGATTAAATTCTTGTTCCCCGACTACTTTCTTGACCTGTCGGAATTTAATGCCATCAACTGGTTTAGGATATTTGTCATTGTTCTGATGGTTCTTGGAGTGGGAGTGAATTCATTTAGATTTCTTTAGCTATTTTCTATCATTTTCATAACTTGTGAGGATCGTCAATGTACTTTCTATATGTTATATTCGTCCATATGCCATGTCTTTACCATATGTTGATCGTTGTAGGAATGGAACAACCCGAATTGGGCTCCGCATCAAGCTTGGGAATATCGAGGTTTGTTCTTAATTTCCTCATGAATTCTTTCTGTTTGATTCTACCTGAACTTTCTTTAGTTTGCAAGAATTTACCTGTCATTTTACAAAGTATAGATGCCATTCTTGCTGTTCTTATATATCAAATGCTTATAGTAACGATCTGTATGAAATGCTTATAATATCGATCTGCTTATTGCGGATGGGTTGCTTGGTTTATCCGTATTGCATCATTGCGAGAAACAATTTCTCCACTTACACTTTTTGTGTTGTGTTATTGTGTTGTCAGTCTCTTTCTATTATGATCCTTTTTTCACTGTGATGCAAATTTTAGGATTTCTTTTTGGTCCTTTGAAATCTTTGTGCCCCTTCAGTTTACTGCTTCTGTGCATCTTCTTTTAAATATTTTAATGGCAGCCCAAGGCAATGAAGAAGATTGGGCAGCCAGAGCTAGGGCGTGGGCGGATGCGAAGACTGCAATGGACAGTCAGCAATCTCAGTTTGCACCTACAGGGAGACATGAAGAACATAACTATTATCAGGATCAGTACTCGCAACCAATTAATTCAAATCATCCAGATATGTCTCATCAACCTCCTCCTACAACCTATGAACAGTATCCAGCTTCAGCGACAACTGTTGCCCGGCCATCAGCAGCTCATCACTTGGAGTCCACACCTGTTACTATTAGCAGTGAACAATCTTCTTATTTTTCAGATGGGCGTCTAACTTACTCTGTCACTGATGGTAGTTATGGAGGCAACATGAGCTCTGTTTTACATCACCAAGGGAAATTATCTTCAAGTCCATCGGTTCATCAGCAGGAGGTACCTTCTAGTAACTATTCTGTTACAGGTAATGATTCACTTGTGTATGAGTGTAGTTATTGTTGAAGAATCCTACTTTGAAACTCATTTAGTATTAAAATTGATGTTCTTTTTGTTTCGTTAATTGTTATTATATTCAACGTTTATATCCTTCTTGTCATTGAACAACAATTGATTCTCTGTGGGCATTTATCACTATGAATTTTATTACTATTATTATGGCATTATTGTTGTTAATGTTTTTATCATTATTATTATAACAGATAATTGCTACTGGCTTGTCAATGTATTTTTATATATAATTGGTTGGTTGGGGAGCTCGTTGAGTGCTCAAGAGAAGCTGGATTGCTGTTGTTATGTTGTGCCTCGTTGCTTCTCTTATAGTTTAATCCCTATTTTATAGACTGATGGAGGTTACAGTCACGAAAGGCTAACAAGTTCCTGCTTGGGAATATAGGATGAAAGAACCTCCCCCCTCCCCCCTCCCCACCCCAGGGCATGCGCTCGCATAAAGTGAAAAGAAATGGTAGAATGATCCCTCTTCTTCATACTTCATTATCAGTGTTCAGTCTAGATTCCAAGACTTAGAAAAGCTGGTATTTGAATGAAGCACCTAGACGTGTTAATAATATTTTTTTTTTTTCAAGTGTTCGACAAATAATTTTAGGTGAAAGTTGCGTCTCATATTCAGCTTTTACCACAATCAAGAATGTGATCAACTTTTTCGGGATCATAATCATGTTCAGAGTTAAGTCGCCAATTGTACACTTGCACAAACATTCAAATCCTCCAGAGCAAAAGCTTGTTTGGAGCAGAGATTTGTTATTACTTTTTAAATACTAGGAGTCCTATTCACTTAGACTTACGGCTCCTTATTTCTCGATGCTACTGTTGTTTCTCTTAATAGTTCAATTTTACCTTAAACACCTAATGGCAGGTAAAGAAGATACTGTAGATCAAAATATACAGTCTTTCAAATCACTACCTTTGAAAAGTTCATCAGTTCATGGTGGACAGCAGCATTTCCAATCACCTATTCCTCCGCCCTATGCATATAGCAATGAGCCAGGGCCAATTGGTCCCATGGCCAATCTTGCAGATCAGCCTTTAGATTTTGCTCCTAGGTTCAGTCATGATCGTGGTCTAAGAATGCATTCTGGCTTTCCTCGCAATGATTCAGCCGGATCCACTAGAGGCAATGATTCAGGCGTCCCAATGCCGTCCTTAAATTCATGGTCTTCTATTTCTCCTGGCATGATTTATCCACCAATTCCTCCTGTCTTGGCTTCTGGAGCACAGGTTCTGGATTTTTTTTAAAGTTCTTTTTGTTCTAGGTCATCAAGATAAATTCCTGAAAATTGTTATAAATTTTCAGCTTGATCCTCCTGTAGCTGTACCTTCTTCTGTTCCTGGACACACACCGTCCCCATTTGGAAGGTTTGCTGGTTCTGGCATCACCCCTGCAATTCCTGCTGCCGCTGCTCCATTTCCTGGTGCTGCACTTCCTGCCACAGTTTTATCTGGTGATGCATATGGCATGTCAACTATGTCTGAACGTCCAAAAAAGGTAAACGACAGCAACTGATATTGGAAATATGATAAACAGCTAGTTAACTGATCGTGTAATTTTAGGCCTCTGTGCCAAATTGGCTCAGAGAGGAAATCAAGAAAGCAGTTATCACAAGTTCTTCTGCTGACCATCCTAAGGAGGATGCTGAGCTAATGGAAGATCAAGGAGTTGACAAGTCTTATGCAAAGGGTGATCAAGCTGATAGTAAAAGTATTGATTCATCTAGGTCGACTGAAGAAGAAGATGATGAGGTTCTCTATAATATATTCTTTTCAGGATAATATTCATGCTCTTCCACGCACTATCTTGTGGATGGGGGCTTAGAATCATTACTTTTCTGGTTTATCCAGATGAGACTTCGTCTATGTTCTCTTTTGGTTATGGAGTTCATCTTTTGTGCCATGCAGGATGTTGTAGAAGAAGCAAGAACTGCAGCAACAAATCAAGAAATCAAGCGTGTGTTGACCGAAGTACTCTTAAAGGTTTTGTTGCTAAATCTGACCTACATGTTTTTAAAACTTGATAACCATTCTTGAATTTCATTTCCTTACATATTCTGGTTTCATACAATCTTAAACTCTGAATTAGTACTTTGTTTCCCTATTCTTTTTGTTGATTTAGAAGGAACTTTTCAACTTAGAAAGCCATTCTGGAAATCAATTATTTCTTTGAAAATTAGTTTTGGGTTTTGACATTTGCAATGGGGGTTGGAACATCCTCACACACACACATATATTCATTTCTATGTTCTGTTGCACGAATTTTTGAATTCATTTTATATATTTTGCTTATTTGTAAGGAAGCTAAAATTACTTTTTGAAGTTGATCCATGTTGGATTGTCATCTCGTAGTTAAGTTGGGATTTTATTGAGGGCATTGTTACTAAAGAAGGGAGGACTTTTTGATCCCGTACAGTAACTGCTGTTCTAAGTCATTAATATGGTTGGGAAGAAACAGAATAAGTTTGGATTTGAATTGGCCAGATTCAGAAATGTCTTAATATTGTTGGTCTAAGCATAGGAAGTTGCGACCTTTGGCATCTCGTTTCTTCATTCATGACTTGATTATTGCTATTTGATGAGGGGAGGATTCTCAATCTGCCGTTCCTTTCCTCAATAAATGTGTGAAGAACATGTTTATATGTCAGTGAACTTTATCTGCAGCATAGCTGACTTATGAAATCACTTCGAAATTTCTCTATACTTCCCATGCTTATGTGTATGCATGTTTAAAATGATTTCTACACAGGTTACTGATGAACTGTTTGATGAAATTGCTACAAAAGTTCTTGATGAAGATGATCTCGCTGTTGAAGGTAACTATCTATGCTCTTACTCCCTGCTTTTCTCCTCTCTCTCTCTTTCTCACAATGCTATTTTTCCTGTTCCATTCAGCCAAGCTTACTTCAAATCAGAATGTCTCTTCATCTCCCTTTCCAGTCTCAACTCCCAAAGCTTCTGCCAAGGTTTTGTTGCCAGTCAAAGTTCAGGAACCTAATAATGACGATACTAGTGAAAAGTCGAGTTCCAGCTCACCTGGAGATGTACTTGGTCTTGGAAATTATGCTTCTGATGATGAAGAAAATGATGATAGAGATGGTGAAATTCAGAGTTCAAATATGCAAGGTTCCAAGACAATGTTCAATGTTGAGCTATCCAGTACAAAAAGAAATTTGAGAGATATTCAAGATGCAGTTGGAAGTGCTAGCCCTCGAGGAAATGTTATAGAGCACAGTGGAAATCATGTAATAAGTGACATCAATGATGGTCCAACCAGTTCTGTTAATGAAATGAGTAAAAGCACAGGCTTCAGTAAGCTGAATGATGATTGGATGGATCGAGAAATGGGTCAAGAACATTCATTGAAGCCAAGCTCTAAAGGTAAAGATAATGAGACAAAGTTTGGGGATGGAATTGCCTTTGGGACAAGGGATGTTTTAGGCATGGTATCTGAACAGCAAGGAAAGAATGTGAATGGTAAAAATGTATCTAAAGATCCGCATGATGGGGAAACTAAAATAAAACCGCTCGATAGTGGTAAGCAGGAAAGTATGAGGGGTTCTTCATTGAAAGATCGTGTCAAGGAAGAAGGGGAGGTAAAAACTAGAACAAATGAGAAAGCAGATGAGAATCGTCTGAAGCAAGATGCCAGGCGCCCGAGGAAGGAAGAGGCAGATGATCAGACTGTTCAAAAGGGAAAATTGAAGGACCAAGGTGTTAAGTCTGGCGAGAAAGGTAAGGATTCCGACTTGAGACACAGGTCTACACGTCAAAATTCAAAGGACGAAAGGAGAGAAGACAAGCATCTGAGGGCCAGCACTAAAGATGGAACCGACAGAAACAGGGTGTACACAAAAGACGACGAAGGCAGAACGAGACAGAAAATCTCAAGTGAATTGACTAGGCACAAGAGCAGTAGAGACAGAAATAAAGACAAGGCCATCGATCGATCAACCAATTCGAGTGATGACTCGGATGATTCTAAAAGGTATTTCTTATGGATGTTCCTACTCTTTTTCCCCTTTGAAAAAGTTATATAGGACTTCATTCCTAGCCCCTTTCTCCAGGAAGGTGAAATCCAGAAAGCGTGACAAATCCCCATCTCCAATCAGATCTAGGAGAAGGTATTGTAATCCTAAACCTCTAATTCACGTTTGCATCTTTGGTAATTTTATTTTCTTTTTATCGTTGGACTACAAAAATGAATATTGTTCCCAAATTCTTTCATGATTATACTTGGTGGTTTTAATCATGATGATCAAAAGTGAAGAATTAATGGTTCAAGCAGTTAATAGAATACATCTTTAGGATATTATCTTGTGGATTACCAATCCATGCTCTTCGCCTTCACATAAAGATAGAGGTTATCCTTTATGGTGTATGCTAACAAATAGTTTCTTGACAAGTTTTACACTGCACGAGGCTGAGCATCTCTGTTATAAGCTTTTGCAAGTTTAACTCACCAAATCAGTATAATGGATGCTTTCATTTCTAGACAAGTATCGCGGTCACCACATAGCAAGCACTCTCAGCGCAGGCATTCTCCCTTCTCTTCTCTTGAAACCACCAGGTATGCCGCAATGTCCATAGATTTAGTTTGTGTTATGTGTTCTCAGGACATGTGCACACTCATCCTCATAACAGTAAGCTGCTCCAATGGATGCTTCAGATTCTTTGTTACTGATTGTTCTTTAGGACTAACTACACATATCATACAGGGCAAGGAGGTCAAGGTCTCGGTCTCCTGCAAGACGGCGCAGATGATTGTCAAATGATTAAGAGAATTCGAACCAATTATACTCGTCTGAAGACTCGTAATCTTGATTTCAATACCTGAATCTGAGTCTAAGCTGCAAATATTTTTTGAATTTGAAGAGGTGGCAATGTTATGAATGTCTGTTTCAATGGCTTCACTAGATGGTTGTGATATACTCCGATGGCCATGGACGTTAGCCATCGATGCTATCTGTTTTAAACCGATAGACTTGACATACTCGTCTAGGAGCTGCCGCTTTAAATATAGCGATATTGGTTACTTCTAGCTAAGTTTCCTTTGATGTATGAGGAGAGTGGATTTGAAGGGAGAACCTCAGAAAGGTGTTTTGATTCTCAAAAGGGTTGGTTGCCCGAGAGTTGGGAATGAGGAGCAAAAAGTGTTGTATGATGGGAAAAGAAATATAACTCAAAAGGGTTGAATTTTTGTGCATGTATTTGACAACCTCCTCTCTCTCTCTCTCTCTCTCTCTCTCTCTCTTCCTCCCTCTCTCTCTCTCTCCCTCTCCCTCCCTCTCTCTCTCCCTCTCCCTCTCCCTCCCTCTCTCCTCCCTCCCTCTCTCCTCCCTCTCCCTCTCCCTCTCTCTCTCTCTCTCTCTC